TCGATCTTTAATGTTTTTTTATAACACAAGGCATCCGACGCAGATGATTTGGAATATCACTGGCAAAATGGCGGCCTTACTATTTTCGGTTATTGGATATTGAATTGAGAGCAAATCGCTGCTATTATATGTACACCGTGGGTCATTGTGTGCCATTATCTACATTAGTCGCTATTATAGGCTTATCAAGTTTCAGCTCCCTCATCACACTATAATGAGCTTCTCCTAATTATATTTCTCATAATAATTCATTCTAATTTTTCTCTTACCCCTCTTGTCTGGTTGCGCCGTACAATTGATAAAATCGTAAAGCCTATTCAATTTAATATATTTTGTCGTGAATATTTTCTCCTAACTTGCCGCCCTTTCTTTTCCAAGAGCCTGCAGCCTGCGATGAATTAAAATATATAAAAACTAATGAAATAATTCAGTACTTAGTTTAAATCAGTGGCTACATAAATTGTTCACTCTTTTATCCAATGCCACACGGCACATTAGTTAATTGATTATATGCTATATAATCTTCAATGCAATATAATATTAATGTCAAATCACACAATCCGATTACACATTTGCTTGAGACATTTATTTAAATTGCCATTTTAAAACGAAAAAAATATTTTCGCCCCTCTATTACCCACTAAAGCTTCATGAATTGCCAAAAGATGGTAATTTTGAGGCTTGTTTCGAGGCCACTGATTTAAATGGTAACCAACACCCGTTGCAATGCATGAGAAATACACCAGAATTTATCTTCTCTTTGTGGATCGTTCAAATCCCGCAAACGCAATGCGTAGCCATACGCATCTTCATTCAAACGTGATGATATCGAATTGAAATTGACTTGCCGCGAGAACCTCGATTCTTTTAGAGCTAATAATTTTGTTATATCTACTTATGACTGTTATCCCATCCCTGTAAAAAATGGGCGTCCAAGTCAAATATATTTTAGTGATAGTATATTCAAATCAAAACGTAATTCAGCATAACGGAAAATATTCAAAAGCATATTTGGTTATTACTGATGACCTGGCGAAATTCGTAATGGCTGGTAAGCTGTTGTTTAACTGGAAAAATAAGTGACCAACAAAGAAATAAGAATGTTAATACAATGAAGAATTGAATCGTGAAAATTTCTCTACCAAAGACAATTCTCGTAAGTCGTTAATAAATTTTAATGCGTTCAGATATGATCAAAACTCGCGTTTTTTTATAAAAATGAAGGTTCTTCTGAATAAAAGCTACAACTGATCGCTAACGAGCCATAGTTATCGGAATTTGATAGATAATTTGTTTACTCACTTTGTGGCTTTCGCTACACCAGCATCTTCAATGGGGAAAGCTTAGGCAGAATAAAATTAAATGAACCACAAGACTAAATAAATATATTTACACCATCATTCAAAACCATATATAATTAAATTTTTACATTAAGAATCACATTAAAGACACAAGGCATCACTAAATAGAGCCAGACATTTCTCTGTCAGCGAATGCGACCGGATTTCATCCTTCAATAAAACCCAATGCAACAAAGGCAGCCAAATTCCATTAATTGCGCGAACGGCTCATCTCAATTCCCATTACTGCAAGCTGCATGAGAATTGGTTTCAGTGCGATTAATTGAACCTTAACTCGATTCATTGAACGTTAACGCGATCAATTTATTCGCAGGGCAAACTCAAAAAATCAGCGTAAATTCAACCGCTGCGTCGAGCGAAGTATTTATTATAGTCGCCCTCTTGGCAGTTATTTATACAATGTGTTTATGTATACAATGATTTTATTTTTCTTTCATAAATATAAATACGAGAGCTCGTACGATATAATAGTCCTTGATAAAAGTCCCTTAATTATGAGAGTGGCAACTATTTCACTAAGGTACACACATAAAAACGAATGGGTCCTTTTGTTCTACCATCAACCCAGTTCCTTACCTAAAACACAAGCAGAGAATTGACGTTGCCATGATACCTTCTATCGAAGGGCCAAACTGGGTCAATATGACCCATTCAAGTGCCGAAAGAGCATCGTTATTTAGTCGAAGTCTTGCTCATTACTTTGAGTGTGCAATTCATTTGCATGATCAATGATTTGGCTCGTTTTACCAATTTCTAGCTGACCTACGCATATAGATTTGTTTACATTGTGTGAGAAAGGTTTACTTCAAAAATTTTTAATTTAATCATCTGTGATATCTATTTTTTCTAATGCAAGATTCCCAGCTTGACTATAACGATTCTACCAAAGACTTCACTTGAGCATGAGAAGTTTGATTTAAAATGGTTCTGAAGCATCAATTTCCAATAGTCTTTTCCCTACTGCAACATTCATACAGACGTTGCTGGGATAGAGGGTCTATATTTAAACACCAAAGGCTCCGCAACTGACCACCAACGGAAAGGTTTATAAATAAGTTTTAGTAAGTTTGTAAAAATTTTATTTTTTTATTAAAGTTTAGTTATAGTTGGTTTAGCAAACATCCTGTTAAATTCCAGCCTCACTAAATATAACTGCAATCATTCCACATGAAATCCGCGCAATCCAATCACGGAACTCGTTTCATGTTGACAGTTGTCCACTCCATTGCCAGCGATTGCTTATCACGGAGGTCGTCTCCTCGGTCACGCAACACTGTTTTTAGCGCATTTTCTCATTTATGGAAAAAAATGCATTATTGTGCTCACCATGTCCGTCCGTCCGTCTGTCTGTCTGTCCGTCTGTCCGTGACCTCAAGTTTTCGTCGACGAGAAAATGCGCTCTCTGTCACTCACTACAGTGAGTACTGAGTTATATTTTTTTTTCTTTTTGTATTGCAGAAATTTTCTTGATCCTGGTGGTGAGTTTCATCCATGCGTACACTTGAGACCCCTTTAAATTTATCCGGGGATCTTTTTCTTTCGATGAATTTGGAGGACATTTTTTGATTTGAATATAGCGTGTTATCAAGCAGTTCGAGTGATTACAGCTTTCTTTTCGTTTCAAAAACCATTATAAATTCAAATCGAGAGTTTTTAACATTTAACATAGATTACCTTAGAGAATTTCAACATTAGAATATATGTCATGCAATAAATTTTGATCCTTATCATATGGCTGAAAGAAAAATGCAAGGATATAAAAGAAAACTCGAGTCTAGTAAAACCCCATCGTGCTTAATTCTGTTAACTCACGATGGCCGGTGAAATTGAATCAATTCAGTTTAATAGCTGCCTCGTCCTCCTGTGTGGTTAATTCGAAAAAATGCATTTTGTTGTTTATGATTCATTGCTATCGTAGTGTTTTTATTAAACTGATAATTATGTGAAATAGAATCAAATGTGTTTTAATAGGTTGAAAATATCTGGGCTTGATAGCAATTATAGATATAGATATTACTATGAAAAGGCCAATTATTTCGTAAATTGTAAATAAAACTGTATATATTCTTTCACTTTTAATCTTTAAGCTCTTAATATGACAACCTCTTTCAAACATATTTTATGAAAAAAAATATTTGAGAAAGTATGATAAATTGATGTAGGAAAATGTCTCCAATTATAGAAATAAAAGATTTGTCTTTCCGTAATTTAAGTCAGCATTACTACTTTTAAATGCTAAATTGTAGAATTGATTCGAAAACCAATGATCGCTTGCATTGCATCAAGTATTTCAACTTCCACCGTAAATTTAATCACAATTCACCAGGTATTAGTATCTCTTGTAGTATCTTCTTAAATATACTCTGAAATTGTTTTGCTCTATATACATACTAATTTGATGCAGGTTTTCTTACATTTTAAAAGACTTTCACAAAACAAAGAAGTGCACACAGCTCCGTTCAACAACGCAACTCACTTTATTTCAGTGGATTTTTACCGTTACGCATTCAAATTTTCTATTAAGTTTTATTTTACTGTTTACATTGCGGGTAGTTTGGCTTTGCCAACTCGGCAACTCGTTCGTTGCCGTGCAAACAAGAGCATTATTATTTTTTCACCGTTTTTTACTTTAGGAGAGCACAACTCTGGCAATTTTGCAGAGATTGTATTATATTTCCTCTAAGCCGTATAGTAATAATCACATGCAATAATAATAATAATAATCACATGCATTCACAGATAGAACTATAACTTAAGAATTGTATTTAATTCGTGACGGTGACCATAATGACTTTTTGGCAGGGAAATTGCGTTTTGACCCGACAAAGTTCACCAGAAATTAAAGTTAGTGAATCCTACGAAAATAATTAATTCTTGCCACGCGTTCGAATATAATTCACGGTATGTAATTTTTATCTCTAAACTTTTTGGTTGATGCAACGAAGTCTCAATTTTCCGAGTCCATAGGAAACCGGACGAGGGACGGCCAGTTGGGCAAAGGTTTGATCCCGAACGACCGATTACGAGAGGAAAGAAACCACGAGAAACTTTTTAATAACGTCGCGAATTTTCCCCAGAGAACTTCCGAGGACAGCTAAGGACTAACTTTTTTGTCGAATCAAAAGGTTTCTTTTGCCGAACCGAAGCCGTTGTCGTTCCAGAAGTTTCGTTGAAGGATTTTTGAAATCTGATGACGATCGGCGATGAAATAATTTATTTTGGCCCTTTAGTTTGTTGTTATAAGTTCAGACGTTTTAACGAGAAAACTTGTTACTTTTCTTGTTATTGGTGCAAGTTAAAGCTTACATGAGGCAAATAATGGTTCAAAGTTAATGTAGAATCATAGAAAAAAATGAATCTGACCAAAAACAAATTTTCCACGACATTCGGTAAATTTTTTTTAAATGTCTCCGAACAAACTACCCTCAAAAATTGTCTATTTCATTTCTGAAAATATTTTCATTTCATAAAGTTCAAAACTCCACGCGCTTTACTACTGCAATTTCCTTGTTTTTATCGTGAAATAGCTTAATTTTGCTCCTCTGTACCAACTAACGGTATGAGAGTGCTAATAATTGCTAAATTACTGTTTATTTTAGTTTTTAATTAACCGTAATTATATTTCGATTTCAGAATCGGATTAATTGAATAAAAACGTCATGGACGCCATCAGAGAGTTTGACATTCGCTTGGAGAGAGAAATGTACTACGCAGGAGAGATCTTGCAAGGCCACGTTGTTCTTGACACCATCGAAAGCTTCAAAGTAAGAGGTAAATTTCATGCAAACTTATTACGTTTAACATTCGGGATTAATTTCCTGGATTAAGTTTTTGCAATTGTATTAAAAAAATACGGAATTTCACTATGACTGCTAATATTGATTGTGAAAAATCTTATACGTTAAAAAATATCTAAAAATTTACCTCACACAATGGGCACCATCATTTGAGTAGCAGAGATTAAATAGCCATTGATAATTAATCAGGTTGAGCGATCCCTACACATTCATCAACAGTCATGCATGCAGTTAGCAAATGTTTCATAAAAAATACATTTCAAATCCAAAGCTTCTTGTATATTCCGGTAACTAATCCTGTTTTCTTACTATTAATCTTGCATGCTAATCTTAATCTTTAAAATTCGTCCCCTTAATTTGGTATGACGGGAAGAGCAATACACAATATTTATTAATCGATCTGTACCTATTGTTCCACATTTAACTAATCTTATAATAATAAAAATGCGAATCGGCAAACTTTATACGTAGTCATTCGAAAAAAATGTCATACTAATTTATTATTAAACGAAAAGCATATATTTATGATATTAAAATATAGAATTGAAATTTAATCTAATTTGTTCATTAGAGTTTCAACTTCACCTAGGGACTAGGGACTTTGTTAATGTTCCTTAGAACACAAGCATGTTTCTATAAACAATTCTTACCTGAAAACGAAAATAGTTATTAGACGTTAATAGATTATGGATTGTGATTAATAAATCATATTCACATTACACAATCACTGCATTGACCTGAACACTTCACTTCATTTTAGTCTTAGCTGGGATAATTTTGATCTATGGTCATCACTTAGCATTTCTATTACCTTATTTCTATTTCTCGCGGTAGTAGAAGAGTCGTTAGACCTGTAATATATGTAATAACATTACATAAATTAATAATTTACATGTAATAACATGTAAATGAGAAGCATTACATGGCATAATCAGTCTGTGCAATTCTTATCATTTAAAAACGCTATAAATATAAATAAAATTAAGTTTCAAATAATGTTGACTATTATCCATTTATTTGTACAGATTTCAAATAATTCGTGAAGTATCCTGAAATTCTCGATGCACTTGTGATTACGCGAATATTTTATAAGAACTAAAGCAAAGTTCAAACTTGAATCGTGATATACAAATGAAAAAATATCTTTATTTTTTTTATTGTATTGACTAAAATCCCCCTCTATCTTTTTTTTTTTTGCTTCAAATGTAAATTATTCAATAGGCTGACAACATTCGTACTTACTAATCATTCATCAATTTCATTAGGTGAATTTTCATTTATGTTGATGAATCCACTCGTCATACTGAATAAATAAATGAAGAGTTCTATAAAGGAGGTGTCGATTTCATAGATTCAATGTTCGAAAAAGTTTTAATCAATATAGATGCGATATTATTGTTATCAAATAGGATCTATGGTCGTGAATGAATGAAGTCAATAGCAGCTCTTATTCGTACTCAAATAATACAAGAGTTTACGGTTCATTCCGAAATTGGATTACGATTGCTTCTTCGGGGTCATCGCCAATTATGTTTCAGCAATTCGTGTGATACTTCGTGGCAAGGCGCACGCCGAGTGGAAGGTGATGGTGTCGGGCGACAGGCGCACCGTCAAAGACGACCAATATTTCATCGACGACAGGAGCGTCATCTGGGGGAAAGGTGACCACCACGTCCCATTTTCTGCCACTTCCAAAAAAGCATAAATATTTTATGTTGTAGTCAATTATACCAATTTCACTTCAAAAATTGCATAAACTATTTTATTATGTAGTCTATTCTACCAATTTCCCTTTATGATGTAATCGATTCTACCAATTTCCCTTTATGATGTAATCGATTCTACCAATTTCACTTTATGATGTAATCGATTCTACCAATTTCACTTTATGATGTAATCGATTCTACCAATTTCACTGCAATATACGAACAGGGTCACTGTTCGTATATTACAGCTCTATGATGATTTATAATCTGTGGAATAATGGAATGCAATTCAAATTGATTAGCAAAAGCAAAGTTCAATAATGCTCTAAATTTAACCATAACAACGATTAATCTCGGACAATAAATTAAATTAAATTAAATTAAATTAAATTAAAGTGGACAATTCCACTTCCACTTGCTCAAGATTCCACAATTTCATGTAAAAACGAGGTGTATTGCATACGAGCAAAAGGATAAGTAAAACTAATATTTTAGTCACAAGAACAAAATTTAATATTATTCATATAGATCCATTAAAGTATCATCCATTATCGCTAGAAAAAAATGATGCGAATATAGCAACAAACATTCTTATTTACACGGATGCTTTAGATTATGCAAACATCATAAAAAATTAAAGAAATAATGTTAGATGTGCTAATTCAAGCTAAAGTTATATCCTTTAATCACAAAACATCACAGCTTCGGTCGAGACACATTTTCGGCGCTTATAGCTAATTTGTACCTTTGATAAACTGTACAATGCTGCAATGCTAGCATCATTTTAACATTTTGGAATAATAGCCTCTCAAAACTGTAACAAATCAGACAATAAGTTATTTTATAAACAAATCCTAATATTGACATTCGTTTTAAAAAGTTTATTAGTGTTGATCGCACGTTCTTACTTAATTAGAAGATAAAAAATTTTGATCAATTTGGCTCTTTTTACTCTCTAAATTGTTTTATATTTGCAAACATCACAGCTCTTAAGTTTCGACGTTCTCTTCTTGTTCGCGATTTTCAATTTCACTATTTTCATTTCAGAAAAAAATCCAAAAAGTTTAAAATATAATCTATCTTGTGACGCTTGCCGTCCACTTCAACGTCTTGGCACAAATTTTGGTCCATAAATTCGGGTGTTATTGCTCGACTTGGGTAAATTGAGTCCATCATTGTTCGCGATTTTCAATTTCACTATTTTCATTTCAGAAAAAAATCCAAAAAGTTTAAAATGTAATCTATCTTGTGACGCTTGCCGTCCACTTCAACGTCTTGGCACAAATTTTGGTCCATAAATTCGGGTGTTATTGCTCGACTTGGGTAAATTGAGTCCATCATTGACCCAGATGTAGAACTCCAGCAAGTGTTCGGCAAGCCAGATGAAGTCGGTAATTCTGGTTTCGAATGATAGCAAACTGGCAGTTGTTGCGTCGAGTGTCCCTGCATTTCATGTTCGATCAATTCTTCTACTTCATCTATCGAGTATGTGAAATTGAATTTGTGATAAGGAGATTCCAGCGCGCTGGCTTTTGCACCACAAGGCGGTAAATTCATGCTGTTGCTGGCGATGTTTGGGAAGGTTCGTGTCTCATTTGCACAGGAAGGAAAGTTGGAATTGATGCCACGGGTTACATTGTCCATCAATGGAGAATTATTGTCGTTGTTTTCAAGGGCACAAGCAGGTTTTGGCGCATACTTTTGTTTTTCAAGGTATGCTTTGAGCTTCTGAAAGCTGGACTGTTTCAAGTCCAGTCCAATAAACCTGTTATATTCACTCTCTTCAAGGGGGTTTTTCAGTTGGATGTTGAGTGATTCCGTCGTACCGATGTCAATCACACCAGAGATCGATAGAACCGACCCTGTGACGATGAACTTTTCCCTGAAAATTTTACTTTCACAGCAACTTTCAAGGCATTTAGGTTTCTTGAATTCAAACTTATGTCGGCAGCCGTTTTCTAAATGTTGATATTGCAGTTCCCATTTTTCTTTGGCTTCCTCTGGAGTGATTTTTTGGTACCGAGCGGGAATTTTTTCACTTGAGTAAAGTCTTTCATGGCCAGTGTAGCCAGGCCCCACTGACGTTTGAACATTACGATCACGATCGAACAAGAGCAAAATGATGTCTGAATTGGAGCTACTGCAAATTTTCTCGTAAAAGCCATCACTGGGAAGTTTTTCGGCCAGATTATCATGAAGTTGTTTTGCCTCTTCCCAAGTCATTCCCAATTGCAATCGAATCTTCTGAAGCGTCACTTGCTCGTCGTGCGAGAAACTGCCAGTATCTTTGTACTGTAGTTTTTCCAGCACCTCGAGAGAAGTTGCAATTAAGGAATTCGATCCAAATTTCACTTCATTTTTCTCAATTGCTTTAGACATAACTCGCCGATAGGTTACTTGAAATGCATCAAAAATTGTCGTCTGGACAGCAGGCGGTAATCCCAACAACCGATTCAGGAATTTCTGCCAAGATATTCCCTCCTTTTTGTGTGGTGTTAAGCCGACATTTGCTAGATAAGTACTCATTAAGTCTTCGCTTTTTGAATTTAGTTTCAGGTTTCGCTCGAAAGCATCGCTCAAAAGTGCGTCGATGGCTTCATTGGCCAAACTTTCATGCAAATTACAGTCGAGTAGTAATGACGCACCTTGCACTCTTCTATCACTCTGGGTTAAAGCACCTAATTTTTCCAATTTCTTGGCCAAACCCCAAGCAAAACGTTTCTCTCCCGCTATGTCTGTGACCGGGCAAATATATTTTGGGGGCACAACTTGGTTACTGCGATGGGTCCTCCCCATTTGTTGTATGGATGCATCAGCTGACCAAGGAAGCTCTAGGCAGATGTGAACGCGTTTTTTCTGGTTCAAAGCCCTTCTGTCACTTTGAAGCGAAATTCCAGTCGAGGCGGCATCTGAAATCACAGCCACTAGTTTATCTCCTCGCATGAAAGCGTCTTTCTCATGTATGTTTGCACTTTTGACGTTAGCTGATCGTTTTCTTCCAGTCAATTCCGCGACTTTTGATTCACCGCCAAGGTTTTCAATCAACACATCCAATGTGTTACGAGGAAGATCATCTGCCACTGATTTGAAAAGTTCAAGAGTTTTAGGCGTGCAAAGTTCCGGTATTTTCTTCATGACGCGTTCAACTGCACACTTCGCTGGTGACACTATTCCTTGGTCCAACTCGTCGTGGATGGCATTAAACTTCATGTCTAATGAATTTGCTTCTCCAGTTAATTGAAGCCCTATCACAACGCAACAGTTTTCGTTGAGAGCTTCTCTGGTCATTTGAATAACAGACTCGACTTTCGCTGCAATACAAAGGTAACGAAAGAAGCTTTGATTTGCTCCCCAGAAGTATGCACGGTTGTGCTTCGAATTGATGTCATCGCGTGCGTAAAATTCTCTTCTCATTTCTGTCCAGAGAGCGCAACTTTTTTCGTAAACCTGCAGAAATTTTTCGTCAGGGTCAATGTTTTTTGTTTCATATTTAACTCCCTTAAAACTCAATCTGCGAGCGAGATATACGCCTTTTTGCTTTAACTCCATCGAAACCATTTCCATCATGTTTAGATTTTCAATCTTGCTTTTGAAATTTGTGAACGTAGATTCGGTTTTCCATAAGCCAAGTCGAGTCATGTGACCAAGATGACTGGGATCACAAGCCATGGTTGCTGAAGCGTAAACAATCCTGGCATTAGGAAAATCTTTTTGAAGGCGTATGACGACTTTTCCAGTTGAATTGGCTTCTTTAATTTTCTCCCCGTTAATTCTGCGAGCTCTATGACTCTCATCAAATACAATAAGACCATTAAAGTTTGGGCCGAGCCAATGAATTATTTGGTCTAAGCGCGATTCGTACTTAGAGAAGTTCCCGGATTTTTTGCTCATGAGCGACGTGTAGGTTGAGAACAACACTCCTTTCGAGATATAATGTTCTACATCCTTCGAGTAAGGAACTCTGGTCACTGGACAGATTGCAATGTCTAACGCACCCACGTCGTCAAGATCTCTCCTTGCATCCAGCTCTAAATCTCTGCTGGCTGAGACCCACAACGCTTTCTTTTCTCCTTTGATCCAATTTTCCCTCACGATGCCAGCGATGGTCCTCCCCTTGCCTAAGCCAACACCGTCGCCAAGCAGAAACCCCATCCTCTCTCCGGACGGGAGTCGTTGCTCATGAGCCTGACACGCATAAATCACAGCCTCAATTTGAACATTCGACAACTTTCCTTCAGAGAAAACTGTCTCAGGCAGACTTAGCTTATAAGTTATCTTCGGAGAGTCCACGCATGATAAGCTTTCCGATTCAACTACATCGCTGGGGTGAGGAACCCCGAAATTCACTTCTTTTGGCACATAAGTCACATACGTCGACTGGTCGTAGTCGTCCTGAAGTTCTTCTTCGTCATCTTTGCTGCAATCTGCTGCTTCTTTATCGTCTGGCTCGTCAACGTCGATAACTATAACAGGATCACATTTAGGCTCATCCCACCGCACACGATTTTCTGGCACTTGGTGAAATGGCATCGAGGCTGGACATTCTTGTGAGTTGTAACTCATTGGCTTATACTTACATTCATCAGGACTTATGGAACTTTTCGGTCCCGGAAAATTATTCTGCAAATTGTAGGGAACCAAATTTGGTGGACTGGGATACCCATAACTTGGATAGCGCGGTTCATATGAAGGTCCTCCTAAAGACAATTGAGTACAGTAATTTGAGTACGGTGTTCTCATCGCTCCCACATCCATGGAACGCCTTGGTTTTGGCTGACGTACAGGAGGGTAATGTGGACGACGATGTTCCATTCGAGGAGCAAAATTATATGGGTATCCGTTGGGAAGAAGCATAGGATGCTGGACGAAATCTTCAACCGAATAGTCATTGTTTGACCACTCCATGGGTTGTATTTCGCAGGTATCAGGCATCGTAGGTCTGTTCCACAAACTTTCAGCCATCAATGACATCATAGAATCGATTGTATCTCACCTTTTATTATGTGAGAATTTTTATCGATACTGGCTCACTCTTGATCCACTAAAATTTCAGTGAAAATTCAGTTGAGTAGGAAAGAAATTTCGTAAATCCTTTCTTTTGTCACTGCGCGTCTTCAAAAAGTTGGTAGAGTTCAGTACAAAATCCAGACAGAAATTCGGGCATTGGAAACTGAAGACGCCGCCAAGCAGTTGTGATGAGTGGCCGCCAGGATTCGAAGCAGCCCGTACCTGAAAAATCAAAGTAAAATTAGAAAATCTGCAGGTAACACATTATCAAGAGACGCACTCACATTACCACAATATCTACCATTAGAAAATGGTTCCATAATATTTACCCTATTTATCGCCGCGAACATTAACATCTTTTCTCCAATTGAACAAAATACAAAAAATTTTAAGACATGTTTTTATACACTCTATAGTAATTAACAACGTCTTATCGGTCCTATTGTAGGGCAATCCATGCGCATTCTTGCTACTTCACGACGCCATACGTACACCCGGCATTCGATCGACTATAATAGAAAATTCGTGCAACATAATAATCACATCCAAAATAATCACTTAATATATTTAAATCGGGTTTTGAAGATCTTCCACTGTATGCTACAATATTTAAATAAAATTAAATTCCGAGTTGTCAAGTCAACGAGTCTTTTAATTCCGAGTTGTCAACCACCACCTAATCAAATTAATAATGAACAAATGGTCTTGATAATACTCCATGCAACAGCACGACATTATAGGCGGATTATACTCGAGATAAGGTCACAAATTTTTGTTCTGGCCTTGATAACGTTAGTTATGCCGCTGAGTGGCAATTCGATCAAGTTTTTCGCAGCAAATTTTTCGAAAATTTTTCATAGAGGCTGTGGATGCAAAAAAATGCAGCTCTCGACGACGTTGAAACTATGCATGATATCAGCAAGAATCGACTTCGAGTGATTTCAAAAATTGTTTATTGACATCTTGAAAGTGGAAGACAAAAATAACTTCCGTCTGATATCGCAGAAACTGGTCCCCGCAAGAAACTGGTCCCCGATTCCTCAGCTGGTAGAAAATGCCCGTAGGAGTGAGATTAGCCTTTCTCACGTGAGTGACGTTTGTTTTCCAGCCCACACAAAAAAAATTGTTTTGTCGAATAATAAAATGCAATGAAATTGCAACCGATGCCATTCCCTTAATTTAATTTAATTTACCACCAAATTATTTATTTTGCTCATTAAATTTTCCGCGAATTCCCAAGCACTCACAGATTAATGAGACGATCTCGAAAAATTAAATGCGCTGCGTACAGAACTTGCGTGCACGCCTTCTAGCTTCGAACAATGGCGCAACACTTGTTTGAAAACACCGCACACATGAACAAGTAACTCATAGCTCAGCAATACACGTCCTGTCTTGAGTCTTGAAATGGAGAGCGAGAAAGAACTACAAGCGTGTTTAAGTACCAGCGTGTATCCATAATACGGCTTTGCCATCTACTGACCTCAGCATCAAGAAAATTGGTCACTCATGAGGTGTGCATGTGCACTTACATTATTCGTATCGTAAAAAGTTAACGGTCGCTGATAAGAGTTAAGGTGCTGTGATAACGTCATTTATTACTGATTTCACTCTAATATCGCTTTCTTTTAGAAATATAGTACCATAATGTTGGAGCTTAAGATTCATTCCGTTATCTATGCAAGACGTTTGTACGTTCTGTATCGAATCCGCAGTTAAAACGTAGCTCATTTTGAGTCCTTTAAATATATGTATGATCATATGTGATAAGGTTTAATTGCAATGCAAAAGCAATACAGATATTATTCTGGAACCAAATGTAAAGACGACCTTACATTACCCTATTGTAGAGCAAAATTTTAACGTAAATTTGTAACTTTCATTTATGTTTTGTGAAATGAATAATGTAATGAATAACAAACCATAAATGCATTCTCGGGATGAAATAAGTTACCTAAATCCTAGAGCGGCATACCATAAGACTTTTTACGTATTTATAATAAATTAAGCATCTTATATCGCAGTCACAAGTGTGATACTGTTAGGTGAATAGCTCAACTCATCAAACAGAAACTTGTAAAAGTTGATAATTTTTTGAATAACAAGAAATTTAATACTTACATTTCTGGGCTTTGCATTCATTATTATTGAATAATTACGAATTTAAGCAAACATCTACAAAAAATTGATTACTTATTTCACTGGTATTCAAATTCACCAAAAATTATAGGCAGGCTAATCCCTTTAAAATTAATGTGACGAACAAAATTCCTAAAATTTTCAGCGGGTTGCATAGAATCTAACAAAATGCCTTAAAATAAAATTATTGTATTTTTTCTATCATTGTCAAATTTAGTTTTAATCTTCATTTTGCCAATGAAATCCCATCTTAGTAAAGTTAGTTAATGTAATTGCTGATATTTCCAAAGATAACTAAAAAGCAGTATATCCGGCACCATCCGCTATTACATCAAGGCAAGTCATGCAGTATATCAGGCACCATCCGCTATTACATCAAGGCAAGTCATGCAGAATATCCGGCACCATCCGCTATTACATCAAGGCAATTGTCATGGAGTTTGACGTGCGTCATCCAATGTTAAATCAAAGCAAGTCATTCAGTGAACCCGAACTCCATCTACTATTACAGCACGGCAAGTCATCCGACTCCATCCGTTTTTACATGCAGGTAAGTCATGTAGTTTAACCTGCCCCATCCATTATTAGATCAAGGCTCAAATGCAGTGAATTCGGCATCATCCGCTGTTACATTAAGGCAAGTCGTGCGGTAAATCCGGAACAAAAGCCATTACATCCAGGCTAGCCTTGCAGTAATTCCGGCACCATCCGCAAGTGCATCGTAGCCAATCTCGCGATCAATAGAGTCCCATTCACTGTTGCATCAGGGCAAATTGCACTGTTAATACCGCACCATGAGCGTTGCAAAATAGGTGAGTCCTACTGCATGTGAACTTCTCGCCATCTCCGTTTTCAGTAAGGTCATAAAATTATTTTCTTTACACATAGATTTCAATCAATGCACGTAATAGAGTAAAATCCAGGGCGATCGTGCCCATCATGGTAAGTCATTCCGTAAATTAGATTCCATCAGCACTCGCATCAGGCTGGCTTCATTCCATTCGCCATTAAGCGAATCGAGCGTTAAATTTTCAAAAGTTAACCGGGATTATCGAGTTGATACTTCCGAATACATATTTATTATTGTATTATGAGTAAAATAAAAACAATTAATTTTTACACTAGTAGTAATAAATAATACTAGTACACTAATAGTAATTAGTGCGTATAATATGGCACGAATCTATTGGTGCTTAGAGCTTCTTCAATCCTAAAAAGCAGCAGAATATTAAACATTTAACTCTATTACTTATTATTCGCGCATACATAATGAAAACCCGCACAAGTTGGTCCTATGTGACATAATAATTATCAATTTTTTTCAATCTAAAGTAAAAGTTTTTGTCAAATGAAATTGAAAAAATTAATAAAAACGCGATGAAGAACTTTTTGAAAGCAAGAACTATGTGCAATATATTAACCTATAACCAACCATGTCAAACACCGCAACATAGTCTGGTCAACCAAGGTCTAGAGCAGCAGCTACATGCGCTCCGCTATAATATAATAATGTATAGGAGGCTTGAAGGACATCTAAGCATCAGCTAACTTGCGTCATGTTTTGCTCTCTAACGTATAATGTAATGCTGGATGTTATTTCAGCTGATACTTTGTCAACTCATAACCCGGAAAACATTTTAAAGTCAAAATTATGTCGAAAATGTTATTCATATAATTTTTAATGTAACTTGAACCCTCGGGATATGGTATGACAAAGAAATCCTTTGATAAGGATTCATTTGACTCGTTTACATTAAAAAATTTTATTCGGATAACGAATTTCGACGAATCTGTCGTTGCCACACTCTTTCCTATTATGAGCCATTGTGACCTTATTTAATCAAAAGTCAGCGTTCATGATAGTTGAATTATTGAATAATAATGAGATTTATATCAGGATAAACTGATTTTTCAAAGCGAGCTTTGCAACAATAAAGAATGAGTAAAACACGGAGATTTTTTACTTAAAATGTCACTGAATTATTAAGGTGGTGCACTAAAAAATACTTCGTTATGAACAGTAAAAAATTTCGCCTATATAGAAGTTCGAACGAATTAACGAGCGGTGCACCGTACCAAAAGCCTCAGGCTGCTATAACGTCCAATTTTGTATGAATTACGAATCAAAAATATATTGCATATACGACTCGAATTTTTGGGGCTAACTTCAAATTATTTCAATGGTTGACTCACTTGCGACCAACCTGTTAGCTCACTTTTCGGCGATTTTGTTGATATTATAAATACCTGAACTCCGACTCGTTTCGAATTACTTAGAAAAAAGAGAGAAAAAATGCTGTCTATTCAAGCCTGTAAAAAAAGGGATCAGAAAACTTTCGCTTTTTGTTTAAACGCGTTTTCATCACGATTGCATTTTCATTTCACGCGAAAACTTGAGATAAAATCTAAATGAAAATATGCCATGCCACCCAGCATCACGGACAAATTTGGAATAAGCAATCCAGACTATTTGTACAAGTAGAAGAAAACATGTATTGCATAACTTGAAGAACTTCTCGTCTCTGAAATCTGTGAAAATGGATTTGATAGTGTACGGTTACAGGTTACTGAAATAAATGAAAAAATATTGCGAAGAAGAGTCCTCGTTCACTGATATTGTTACCTTTTTATGTTACCTTATATACCTGCATGTTAAAAAATTACATTAGTTTTACATCCAGTACGTTCTGCTGTTAGAAAAATACCCCACCCGCCTGTTTACATTCTCCATGAATATGAAGATTAGTTTTTGTTCAATTAAGTTTCGCACTCAAAAAAAGAAAGGAGTCTCTTTCAAAGAGAACTAAATTAAGTTAAAATTAATAAATTTTGAGGAATCGCGTCAACAACGATATCTTACAATCAGGGTTTCATTAAAAATAGAACCGAGTAATTAAACTAATTCTTAGCTTCATATCATCGAAATGAAATGCAGGTTCAATGAATAAAGGCTTTAATTCTTCAGTGATCACTAATATCATTTTTCTCTGTAATCTATGATTTATCAACAAGCCTATGAGTCACAATCTTACGATAAGCATGTGATTAAAGTGAGTCATACTCTTATTTTGGCCTGAGTTAAAAATAGTAGCAAATTCATAACTGATTATAATTTTTTCTTTGTTGATTCAAATAAAATTCGCATTCGAATTATTTCTTGTAAACGCAGCCACTTTAAGTATGTAATTCGAGTTAAGCGTCTCACGGTAAATAAAATATCGGTCATGGTAACTGATTTTTTAGCAAGTTTTCGTCTAATTTAGACTATTGTGCAGGCAACAGTTTAAATTTGAGACATTTTAATTGAAAGATTGCTATTATTTAAACGTTTTTAGGTCCAATTAAGATCCAGCATATCCAATTTTTCAAGGTTGTATTAATTTGGATACGACGAATTTAAGGTATATATAATGCACGAAGACCCGTATAAATAGCCTTACATGATATATTTCTTGACAATTTTTGTAGAATAGATGAAAAAAGGCTAGCAATTGACGGCAACAGTTAGAAAAATGGCATGCAATTAGCCGACGGAATTGAAAAAGGAAAGTATTCTCCCGAATCTATTCTCAGCGTTAAAAATTTTGTTGAGTTGCAAAAAGTCTATAAATAAAATTAGATTTAGTCGTAGGTAGATAATTGTTCTTAAAACTTCTCAACTCCAACTTCAGCATTTCATATGTAAAGACCATGTAACGTTCCTGTTGGTTACCGATAACTTCATTTTTGAAATTATTTAATTAATGAATTTATAATAAAAAATGACTAAATGTCCAGAGCAATTAATTTCATTAAAATGGCACATGTCATGATTACAACAGCCTCTAACAATTTCGATTATTTTTTTCTTGACAGCATCACTATCACATCATCTTTTGAGAACAATTTTAGTGCGCGTGACAGCTTTTCTTGCTGATTATATAGCTAGTCCTCAGTATGCAGATTTTATGTTAAGTGACTTCATATGTGACTTGTTCATTGAATTCCTTGTTGACAGTAACTTGATTACTTCTTACGTACAAAGGATCTATTCAGGCATTTCTTCTCGGCCATGTTCTAAAATCAACTTTTTTAGTTTCAGCAGTTTTTTCTCGATCATGACTTAAAATTCGATTTTGCCGTTTTGGGGATTTCTCCAAGCATTTACATTTGACTATTTCCCGAAAACCTATTTTTTAGTCTCAAATGATTTCTTCGAACTTTTCGTTTTCATCATGACTCAAAATTCCCTCTTACCGTTTTGGGGATTTCTCCAAGCATTTTAATTTGATTATTTCCCCAAAACCTATTTTTTAGTTTCAAATGATTTCTTCGAACTTTTTGTTTTCATCGTGATTTAAAATTTACTTCGTAAATTCAGGTGACCGTTGACATGCCGTACGCATCGCCCCCGCAAGGCATGAAATATTTCACAATCATCGGACCTCACATCGACTGCATGGATGAGCAATATTTGGTAAGTATTTTTTCCTAGGAAAGTTCGTGTAATTTTTTTCCTAGGAAAGTTCGTGTTATTTTATCCAATTAATTTGTGATTAAGGTTTACTGGGCTGAGAAGTAGTCATGCACCTATAATATACGACAATTCGCTACACTTAGAATTTTCGCAATCATCATTAAAATCATCAATAAAGTAATCGAAAAATATAATATTTGAAAAAATTAAACGAAGTCATAAATACGAATATTGATCTCTGAAAATTTACTCCTATCGAGTTCAATAAAAACAATTAAACTGAAAATAAGCAATAATAATAAGTAATTAAGTGATTATTAATTAATTAAATTAAATTATTATTAATAATCACTTATTATTAATTAATAAGTGATTATTGGTTAAGTTAATTTTATTGCAGAAGCCGATGTGCGGGGAGGATAAAAGATCGATGTGTTGTCTGTGTTGCGCCCGCGGTCCCGTGACGCTACGGACGCAACTCGAGCGCACCGCTTACGTCTGCGGCGAGAGCATCAAACTCAAGGCTGAGATCGACAACCAGAGCGAGGAAGACGCGACCTTAAAGATTAAATTAGTTCAGGTAATAAGATTTTACTTTAATTTTCTTGCAAATATCAAAATTGCAGGAAATTAAGTCACCAATAAAATTGTAGAAACTGCAGGTGAAAGTAAACTTCAGAGTTCTTTAATATTAGTCACTCTAAGATAGAGCCTGTACATCTTTTTTTTATCGAAATGTGGTATGACAATCATTGCATATGTTATTTAGCTTCGAACTTAACGAATGCGTGTAAAAGTACCAATAAGTAAAATCAAAGCTCCACGAAGTATATGGAGCATGCATGCAAAAAAAGTATTTATACTACACGCTGTACGAGAATGTGGTTAAAATAGATGATGCCTTCATGCATTGCGTGCAGTATTCTGGAGAAGTTAATGATTCCTCACGCAGTACGTGAGGCAAAAAAGCGTATTAATTACTCACGGTATCTGTATTCTAGAATTTTCGAACTGACGATACAGGGAGCTGGACTCCGAAAGTTTTCTATGAAAATATGATGTATTGTCGTGTAATTTCGTTCGCTTTTAAATTTATTCTAAATTTACGATTGAAGCAAACGAGTGACATCAATACTTGCATACATGTAACGATATTGTTGCCCGTGCAGTACGTGGAATACTACCTGGAGCGCGGGGTGCTGGGGGTGACGAAGGACTCCCAGCACGCGGTACTGGAGTTCACAGGAGACCCTGTAGCGACAGGCGGCAGATGGAAGTTCGACAGCTCGCAGTGCCTTGTTGTGCCTGTCATAATGGGATTACAAGGATTAAATTGCCAGACACTTATAAGGATTAAGTGACAGAAATAAAGAGGTTGAATTTTTAAAAGCTATTGAGAGCGAAAGTGGAATTTGTTATTCTATGATAAGCGAACGATTAAATTTTCAAGTCAGCGATAAAACAGCAAGAAGGACAGCTTCAAATTAGCGGTGAGTGAACGATAGACATTTACCTGGCTTGCCAGCATTATAATACTAAACGAATAACTAAATTCGATCTCACCGATGTGTATTAAATTATAAATTTAGAATTCTTAACCCAGATATTATAATTTAAGATAAATGTCAGGTAAAATACTAAACACATTTGAATGAGGTCAGCACAAAAGTTCTGAATTCAAGCCGAGATACTCGTCGAGTAAACGTTACTGAATTTGAACAACCAACAAAACGCCTTCCAACCACAATTCAAATAAAAAATCTTATTTAATATTCTTCCATTCAAATCTAGAGTGAACTTTTAAGGTAAAAGTAAACAGCAATGGTTGTCGCCGATCTTCTAGTCTGCGGTTCACAATTTTGTCAATCAATTGCTGATTTGCCCGTTCCAGCTTTGGATTAAATTTATTAATTTTCGTATCATATGAATATATCTGGGTATCATCGTGCATAGCATTGCAATTATTCACCCTTCCCATCATTGCAATTATTCACCCTTCCCATATCTATTTCAGCAAATGTATTATGGTTTCTGAATTTCAACGTCTTTCTTGTGGATCTTATCATCTTACCCGTTTTCTGAATTTCAAAGTTGTTTCATGAGGATATGTTCGTTTTCTGAGCTTCACCGTCGTTTTCTGTGGATCTATAGCAGGCATTTCCCTTGTCAGTTGACATTAGATAACATCGGAAATAGCCGGACAGACCAGCAAGCGTCACGATTCCCCAAATTCTCGTTCAATGCGATAAGCATTCTCCGTGTGAAATTCGTGGTAATCGGTATTGACGGAGGTGAAATTAACCAACGTTATTTAGTAATTTTTATGGTTGAGCCTAAAGGATTGATGTGAAATGTCATATATAAAGGGTTTTAGATGAATTAATTGTCATTTTAATTTGCGAAATAAAGGTGCGATTGTAGATCCGATATAAGAATTGGTCGTATAAAAATTACAATCATCATAAATTTTGTTTAATACGCAAACTGCAGAACATTCCGATTAAAAAAAAAGAAAAAAAACAGACACACGAGCGAGGCCTAAAGTTTTATTGGAGCTTTTGATTCAATGTGTCATTGTATTTCCGATTATTTTAAATAGATCTTTTATTTACGCTATTTATATAAAACCCTAATCTTGGGCAAAGGTCAAGTGCGAATCATGCATATTACACCACAAGTGAATGTTGAGTTCGATGTCCGTTATTTTTTCGTTACTAACTGTACATTTAACTATAGGAGTATTCAATAATATCGATGCTGCATTTCAAAATATTAAAAATAAAGTTGAACTGCATGGGCTAAAGAAAAACGTAGGGAGATTATTACTAGCAGAATACGAACAAAACACATTAATTTTGAACCCAATTTATATGTAATTCATTTTATGAATGAAATTTGCACTCTTTCTTTCACACGTGACGAGCAAAAAACGATAATAATAAGTTTAATAGCTGCTTCGATACCCAGCGTTCATAAAAGAAATTCTAATCCGTAGTTGAGCGCAAATTTTACCGCCATACTTTCCAAATCTTAGCTTATGTGTAAAAGTCCTCTTAACCTCTTCTAAACAAATTTCAACCGGAAAATTTTCTTAATTTACCATCAATTCACATCCATACTAGTACCTATTTTACAGCGAAGTTATGTCATATAACTGCAGCTTGAAAATTCGCAGAAGCTTCAGCTTATGTTCGATCTTTTAAACTCATGCACTCATGATTATGGGTTTGGTTTCTTGATAGACTCATTAATTGCCCAAAAACTGGGTTCGCATATACATTTTTCACTCATTGAACAACTAGACTCATTAACCCAGTATACATATTCAAAATATTAATAAAGACAATCAGATTGAAAAAAACTAACCATACATTATGATTCATGAAACGACAAGCAGCGTAAATTGCTTGAACTACCGAACAGCTAATAAAAGCAAAGAGTAATGTACAATTCAACATATTAAATTTAAGCATTGCAAAACAATTCATTTCCAGATCGCCAATCGGCCATAAGCCTTTGTCACATCAGACAAATGCTTAATCGTGGCAAAGCCAACACTCGGCGATTAAGTTGCGAATTTTTTGTATGTTAATTTAAAAAAAATTTCTGTTTAAAACTATGAACGAGATTTTAATGCGTGAAGCTGAGACAGAGATTAATTAGGCTAATTACTAAAATTCTTGAGGGCATGTAACAAAACGCTGTGTAATCTTCATCTGCAACCTATACCGTATTCAATGATGCAATCCACAGCAAGTTTCTATTAAGGACTTTTTAAAATGGGCCCTTGGCTATTTATAGCGCAGTTCTCAGTGCGATAGCCAAAACAAATCAGTATGTATACGATATTATGTACATATCATAAAGTAAACAACACTTATCTATATACAAAATTATTTTCACAGGCCATACAATCTTCCTTCTAAACCTACCTTGTAAGGCCAATGTAGCTCGATGACGAATTTTCCTAAGAATATTTGTATAATTTTCAAATAAAAGCTCTCGTTTTGCAATGTAAATACAAACGAGGCACTCGCTATAGGTCCGGTTTTCATGAGTGACTATAAACAAAAACACTGTAAATAAAAGTTTTCTGAAGTATTATTTAGTCATGGGTAAGCCCAGTAACTTTTGAGATATGGTTGTGAAAGAATAAAGCTCACGTTTACAGCGTGTAGCCATCAATATTTGATGAGCAAGTTTAATCCACATGATGATGACTCGGCAATACTCGGCCACACGTTACACTTAAGTTCTTAGCTCCAAGAGTAGAACCTACTGACTGCCACGGCCACCAAAACCACAGAGCTTCTGAGACATTACACGTTACAACGAGAACATCGAACGAGGTTGTGACGCAGCATGACGAAATAATCGCCTACTTGGTTTGTTATAGTCAGCCATGAAAAAATATTGTGTCATAAAGAACTTGTTGAGGGATAACTTTATGTGATAATTTCATGTTATGGTAACTACAAGTTTTGTTTATTAAAAGCTACTCTTAATACTTCGAGTGTGTAAATTGTATTTTTTGTGTTGCATTCAAGAGACATGAGAATAATTTTTACCTCATTGAATTAAATGAGCGTCCCATTCTACATATTTCAATTTTTTTATTTATAATCATATTATCAGTACTGTATCCGAACTAATATAAGTATAATCGGAGCTTTTTTTAGCGTGAAAAAAAAAATAAAACAACAACAGTTACCAAGTCTGAAAAAATTACACAAGAGATTTTAACTCATATATTTGCATTTAAGGTTATTTATCAGTGATTGAATGGAAATGTTTCGATGGTAAATACCCAAATTGCACACGACGGACGTTTGACTTTAGAACTAGATCAAATAGATTCAACATATAATGCATTTCTAATTTAGTTGAGCTTCCTAAAATCAATACTCCAACATTAATACAAAATAGTCGATATTATTCAGAACATCTCTGAGCGTGAGCCCTGACATGCTTATCAGTTCCATCTATTGTGTCAAGCATTTACATGAACACTAAGTGCTTAAAAGCTCTTACGTTACTTTATGCTAATTTTTCTTAAGTGATCATATTACTTATTAATATGTATTTAACAGTTTAAAGTGAGGCATAAAAGTTGTAAATCGTTTTGGTACTTTATTTCTCTGAAAATGTTACAGAGACTGTTTATAAAGATGGAATTCTAATCGGGTTGAATATGTTAATCAATAGCATAGCACAAGACCAGAAAATAACCATTATTAAAAATTTCATATAACTAAATTCGCGTCCAATAACCTCATTTTCTTGGTTGTAAACATTTAACTAAGCTGGTATTCTGGTATATTCTGATATAAACTGGTATTCTGATACCAGTTTAAACTGGTATTCTGATATAAACTGGTATTCTGATATAAACTGGTATTCTGATATAAACTGGTATTCTGCTATAAACTGGTATTCTTTATTAAACTAACTGATAAACTGGTATTGATCTTCAGGTGAACATCGAACAGAGTAAGGCTGGGGAGGATCTACACATGCATTTCCCCATCACCATCGCCACGGTGCCTTTCCGACTAAATTTGTGAGTAGATAACAATGCGTTCTGAGCATGTATATATTGTGGGTGAGCAAGTCAATAATTAACATCCGGAAAATTGGTCCTGGATGCACGATTTCAAACGTAACTGAAAAAATGTAACTCAGTACTCACTGCAGTGAGTGGCAGAGAGCGCATTTTCTCGTCGACGAAAACGTGAAGTCACGGACGGACAGACGGACAGGCGAGCACAATAGTGCATTTTTCCATAAATGAGAAAATGCGCTAAAAAGTCCACTTTTCACAACACTTCTCTTTAACTTCACTTCTTGTTTGTTTGTCTGTCTGTCTGCTACAAATCTTATAATCGATAACAATAATCTTCATGATTGAAGACATACAATTTCATTCGAAATTTAAAATTTACACAATCTGCACAGCATACAAGTTAAATTTTTCATGCAAAATCAGTAATCTGACCACAGAAATTTATGGGTGAATTCATACATTTAATTACTCAAATCTGCATGTGCATGAAAATGCGTATATTTTTTCATACAACGATAACTTGAGAATTCAAATGCTTAAATTCAATGTTTATCTACTACAAGGCACAAACCTACTCAGTACGGTATATTTTGTGAATTCGTCCATTGCAAAGACATTACTCTGTACGTCATTTAGTACCTTAAAATGCTTTAATACATAAATGAAACTCTACCCACCTTACGATCTGGGCAGACGTGTGCTGCGACCACGTGGAAGGCGGCATGTACATCGGACCAGAGTTCCAGTTGGGCCAAGTATACGACGGCGGTGGCGATGGCACAGCCGGAGAACCTGTCCTTCTTTATAGACCAGTTTACGTGTGCATCCCGAACGTAATCACGACCACACCCTCAGCCAAGTCCAGGAAGATGATTTTCGATAACAGTTCCAGATCTGCCAGTCGCTCCGGCAGCGTCTTGAATAAAATGGGGAGCTCTTCGGCTGGACTGCAGTCTAACTTTTCCAAAGGACCTTCGGGATCGGCGGAAGGAGAACGAGCGGGATCCCGGGAAAAATCCACCGAAAGAAAGGCTGGGTCTGGTCTGAAAAAAGACAGCGAGGCTACTGATGTTATTGATGTCAAATTAGAAGAAAAAATTGGAAGGAATTTATCAACGAAAAGTCTCAAAGATTCCCACAGTCGGAATTCTTTCTAAACCTTGCTAGTGTGCCTGGCCATCAGAATTAAATGGTTAAGTGTTCGGGTTTTCACGAGTTGGAAAGTTTGCATCATTCATCTAAACGAAGAAGTAAAGAAAGTTTTAAACTGCAAAAGAAAATTCTACTTTAAGTGAAGGTCGGATAGCATTAAATACGAATATGTAGATGTTCTGTCATTAGATTAGTTAATCATTTGCTGCTTGTGAAAAGAAATGAGATGAACTTTTTAGATAAATTGAAAACGATGCTGTTATCTGCAGAAAAATATGTAGATTTGTTACCCAGTTGACGAAAAAATGTATTTTTATCGTAGCTTCACCGCTAGGAAATTTACATAGAATAAGGATGTATGTTTATAATAAAAACGAACAGCTCTGCGTTCTACAGTGCGCGCATCCGTTGGAAATACAACGTGTCTAATTTATGGGAACTTGATACATGATGTAGCTAAGAAGTGACTTAACTGTGGCTCTAGGCTGACCTGATTAGAAAATTAATGAACCGCTTAATAGTTACCGGTATAAAATTTTGTGATGTATTTTATGGACCTTTTTTGCCATATAAATTTATTGACATTTTTAGAGTTATCCCAACTACAGGGAAGATTTCTTGGAGATATGCGCATTACTAGCTCGAAATTTCAGAGATCATTCTTTTATTGTTTTATCAACCATTTAGATCGATTAGCTAGACTTGTGCATTTTTTGGTGAAAAAAAAATATTTTTAGTTTTAATAAAAATCTATAATAACAATGCGCGTTCCGATATTAAAAGAATATTTCCTGCAATCATCAGTCTGGTCCATAATTTAATAGATAGTGTAATAACCGTTAAATATAATTCAACAAATCAAAATGAATTCATTTTTTGATATCTTGACTATCGTGTGCGTCTTCACCATAGAATAAATTTTAACATTTTATTAACATTAATTTTAACATTGAAGTTTGTGAAGTTGAAGTTACATTGCTTTTTTAACGCAATTAGCTCATCATTTCTCTTTATCTCTTAGGCTTATCAGTAAAATTACTCCATTACGCCTGGTTAAATGTGTTCTGTTGTCGCTTACGGACAAAAACGCAGAATTAAACGTCTTATCATTATTTTCTTACATATATATTACATGTTCATTTGTAATTATGTGCAATAATTTATGAATATTCTTAATTAACAGTTTCGTTTATCTGTTAATGTAATCTTATAACACTAATGTCGCCACCATACAGCATGTTTCATATTGAATAAATACAAATTATGAATGTGTTTTCATTTCTTTTGAACTAAACCCCCTCTCTGTTGGACTTATTAATTCCCGTATTTTTATTATTCATCATTTGGCTGAAGTCGAATTTCGTAAAGATTGTAAAATAAGCATGCGTAGAAAAAAAGTAACAACGCATGTAAACCATCTCTAAATCAACAGTTTTATTTACATTGATATTGTTGCGGCTTTGCATTGTTTAATATCCTCCTTCATATTTATTCGGATTAATAGAGCGGATCTAGCACGTTCTGAAATCCACTGAGATCATTTCCGTGCAACGATCGGCTGAAAGATGGATTTAAAATATCCTCTTCATTCAAAATTTCACCTCAGTTTCCATTCGAGGCTTTTTTTCCAGCTCCACAGAATTTAAAATTTTTCGCAATTAATGTACAAAAATGTACCTCAAGGAGAAAAGTTGACAACTTAAATGAAACTTCGAAATTTGAAACAGCTTTGCAGTCGATTGGATTACATAATCAAATGATCAATTTAAATATTGATAATGACTCGGTTTTCCAGCGTAAAACAATGATTTTTGGCTTCCACGATCCATTTGGCTTTTTTATCATTATTTTAACGTAAACTTGCAATGTATAACAGAAAGAATATACTTTATCCTTATATATTTGTGCTTACGATATCAATGGTAAGCGTAATCATTCGTACGCAGCGCTCGGTTTTCATGAATGTGTTACTATGCGTTATGTTCGATGGGTTGGCGTATAAAATTTATAGCTCCGTAGGATTATTCGCTTTCGCATGATTATTCTTTCTTACTGGTCCTAATTTCATTTAATATCGACTTTGCCATTCTAACTCGAGATATTCATTAGCTTCATCAAAATTTTGTATACACATTAACGTGCATGAGTTTCATACTGCACACTAACTTCCGGTTAAATTAATTTCAGCCGTCGATCGCGTCTCTTTAATTTCGTAATTCATATTTAAATTTTACTGTTTTCCCTCTTCTAGGTCAACTTTTGCAATTAAATTAATTTTTACTTGTTTTTTTTTTAAAGGCGCACATTGCACTCATAAAAATGTAGGGGTAATAGTGCTCAAATACTGACACACTTGCTGCATGTAGCATTTAAACGTCATTTTTCCAGGCCAAACTGGATTAAAATAACTCACGCATGCACCAGAAGTGCATCGTGATTTGGACTAAGTCCCACTTACTTCTTTCAGTGTAGACATCCGGGAGCGCGTCAGGAAAAAGTCCCTGGGAACTCACAGTGCGGGGAACGCTGCGTCGAGTAAATGAACAAATTAAAAACGTACGAATTAAAAACTCATGAAAATTTTGCATTCAATTATAATTGGACCGTGATATTTTAAATTTCATTACCCGGGTTATTTGGTCAACATGCATGAATTTAGTTCTCTGTGTCCCTGATATAGAAACTTTATTGATATCGTTTTTACAAAAATGAAATGAATTTCCTAACGATATTTCATGAAAAGATGCTTTTTAGCGCATTTTCTCCTTTGGGGGAAAAATGCACTATTGTGCTCGTCATGTCCGTCTGTCCGTCCGTCTGTCTGTTTGTCCTTCCGTCCATGACTTCACGTTTTCGTCGACGAGAAAATGCGCTCTCTGTCACTCAGGACAGTGAGTACTGAGTTATATTTTTTCCATTATCTGCTAAGCTAAAATACGGCAGGCACAACAAGTGCAGCTACAAGACCTTCACGACTAAGCGGCCTGCTGCCATGCAATGCACCAACTTTAACTTTAATTTAACATATGACATGAAAAGCAAGGATCCTGTTAAGAATTGATTCGCCGTCACTATTTTTAAATTTACATTAGTTTCTTCTGCCAAATTCCACTATCATTTTACTTTGCAACTAAATGAAAAACCCATTCAACTATTAATATGCAAATGCTGCTAATTACTTGCAATTTTACCTCTTTCATAATGACTTTAATTCTCTGCATGTTTCAAACTTCACTAACTGCTAACGTTATGATTCACGATGAAACTTATGAATAGCCAAAAATTCGTTTCCATGTTTCATTTTCAACGCATTTTGTCATTTATGGAAAAAATGCACTATTGTGCTCGCTATGTCCGTCTGTCTGTCCGTCCGTCCATGACCACGTTTTCGTCGACGAGAATGTGCGCTCTCTGTCACTCACTGCAGTGAGTATTGAGTTATATTTTTTATGTAGTTACTTTGACGTTTAGGCATTGACTATAGTAATATAATAGGCTGCGTAGGGCTAATAAGAGTGACAACGAGTAAATCTTGATGAATAATTGATTCTATAAATAATGAATAGTTTTCCTGCTGTAATGAAATAACTTAAGAAAATAATTTTCTCATTAATTGACAAATAAGTCGTAATTAAACAGGTCAGTAGCTTGTTGCAGACTAATTATCGAACTACGATTTTATCGCAAATTCTCTTCGACGTTTCACTAAAATAAATGTAATCTTGTAATTATCTACATTTCAGCCAAATAAAACTTTTTTTGAAGCAAGATAGTTACATTTTGTCCAGGTTTCGGTGAGTGTTCACCAATACCGTTTATGGTATATATCTCATAAGAAAGAGATTATTTATATTAGTTTCTACAAAAGTGCAGGGTTAAAATCCAATCACATATAGAAGAAAAAATTAGATCAGTACCCACTGCAGTGATTGACAGCTGTCTCTTATACACATCTAGATGTGTATAAGAGACAGCTCATCTGCTTAACAACAAAGTGTTCTCATGCAGTTCAAAAAGCCATAGGTCCTAACGGATATGTGTGCAGACTTTGAGCGAGTTGCGTTCATTATATTAAGACATATTTCTTGGTCGTTGTGCATGAGCAAATCTTGGAGACCGGGTCGTTCAGCCGTGAACCTTGAAAACGAAGGCGAAATCTACGAAATTAACATGAGCTGCTAGGTGGTAAAAATTTTATTTTTTAGTTTAGTTGGAATCGGTACCTTATTTAGAAGCAATGTTTTAATCGTTGAAACTTTCAGCCCGTATGAGCGTTAACGATTATAACAAAAGGAGCATCTTCATTTTCTTGAACATCTTCTCCAAGTTACAAACCAGCGACATGAGTCGCTTAGAAAGCGCTGCTACCGCAGCGTGGCCACGAGGCCAGAGGCTGGGAGCAGCTGCGCGGTGACAGCGCAGCTGCTTCCAGCGGGAAGAAAGCAGCTGTTTGATTCAAAAAGTACCTTCCTGCCACACTTTTGCAGCCACAAGATTTGCACCAGGTAAATTTCACCCATTAAATATTAAATCATTATGAACAAAAAATTCAAAGCTGAAATATTTAGAAAGGAGACAGACTTTTCCAATCCTGCAGAGCTCCGTGTAGATTTCAGATGGGCAAAATTCAAGTTGAAGATTGTCAACAAATTTTTGAGCCATTTTCTTAGTGCATGATCAAGCCATGCCCATGAGAGCAAGCATGGAAAACATCTGCCTTTAGGGCGAACTAGAGGTTTCCCGCCATTTCTGAAACCGCGAGATTTCCGTCAGATGAATTACCTCCTATCCAAATGTTAACAAAAGTGCACGATCAAGCCGCGAGATTCCAAATGTATTGAAAATTCGTCATGTTGAAGCCGCAAGATTTCAGAAACAAATAGAAAAATTCCAATCCTGCTGATGAGAGAATTCAAATTAGGCTAATTCAAAAATATGTTACTTTGCAGCTATAAAACTCAGTAGGTGAGGGCTAGGCCAGAATTTTCTGCATAGAATGAATAGATAAATTAAGAATAACGTGGATCTAAAATAAAAAAATTAACTCAACAATATCACCTCTGCACTATTTTTTTACATCACGATTGTTCACAATCACCTCACCAAGACTGATAATAATTGAGTTAATTGTCCAGATGTAGCAATAGCCGGCCATCTTGGCTAGTAGGCTAGTTAATAAAAACAATTCGTTGTGAATAATAGATCACTGAGAGTCTTAATTTATGATCAAGCAGTAAATTTTCACTGAGATTGATACTATTCATAACACCATCATCACCCATGGCTGGCATCGTGTCTGTGACAGCACTAGACAGCGATACCAAGGTCTACACAGAGCATAAAATTACTTGAAATTTCAGAAAAAATTTGTTCATAAGTTGTGAATAATCGAATAAAACGATAACAGTTCATCAGGAATAATATCAGGTGAGTGAAAAAAAATAATTTTATCTCTGTCGGTGACTGAATGACGATTTTAAGTTAAAGCTGATTTTCGATTTATTTTAATAAAATCCTTGTTCAGCCTTCAATGTATGAGACATGCATGGATAATGAAGTGAGAGAAAATATAATGATTTTTAATTTATTTATTTCGCGAAAATTGGGTCGATTTGTATTTTTAAATGCATGTTTTATACATTACCCTGGACAGGGAAATTTGTGAATCGACGGCACGACGGTCAAGACCAAACATACATTTATTGAAATTCATGAATGAAAAAGTACAGGCAGAAGGTTAATTGGGACATTAAAACGTTCATGAGACATAGGAGCACACTTTTGAACAGTTTTATCGCAATCCGTGTTGATTTGAGGAAGCTGTGGCCATTTTTCTTGGCACTGCTCGGTGCGAGTGCGAATTTAAAATCGGAACTAAAAATACAAAATGGACAAGAAAAAATCGGCAGA